AAGTCTGGCATCGTTGGAGAGTTTACCTCTGCTTTGGTTGAGACTTGTGATGAATTGTTCTGTCCTCCTCGGTGCGGCTTGCCTCAGCTCTCCGATAGCTTCGTGCTGGCGTCTCGTAGTAGCAATTAAATCCACTCACGATTTAAATCCACACACGAACTCCGTAGCAGTGAGTTGCAGTAGCGATCCAGATGCTTTATACACCTAAAGCAACCGAGCAGAAACACCAGGATTTTGTTGCCCCCTCAAAATGACCATTGAGTCCAAAGGGTTCGTTTTATATTTTATTTCGGTCTCAAAAGAAAAAGAAAAATAAGAAAAGGTCAAGAGTCGCACACCCCAGGTCCCGCACACAGCCTGGCCGGGAAAAAAAGGCCTCTATCCTGCACACTTGCCCCTGATTATCCCTGGAGGGATATATTTAAAGCAGAAAAATCACGTGAGCTTAAGGGGTAGGGCATATAATAGATATTCCTACAATAATAAAATACTATTAAGCGAAAGCAGTGGAATTTTAGGGAATGACATGGTATAAATATTGTTATTTACAGTGAACCGTAATCCATACCAATAAAACCGTAAAGTGCTTAGTGCTATACAATAAAAATAGGTGCAAATACAGGCAGCAACATTTGTCATTCCTATTTTCCTCTGCATCCTTTGAAGTTAGGGAAAAAAACCCAATTTTTCTAGCCTCGCCTAACATTTTCAATTTCTAAAGGCCCTAAAAAAGGCATACTTCATTGTAAGTTCACAATATTCAAACCCTCTGTTCATTGTGTTGTTGACAACAACTGTCTAAAGTTTCAGACTTCTAAGTTTTATAGTTTTTATGCAGTTTCTCCTTTTCATCAAGTAGTGCACATTTGGCACAATTTGGCACAAGTGTGCCAAATTGTGCCAAATATCTTTACTTACATTTAATCATCATAAAAACAATATTTTTTATTATTGGTACTTATAAGTTACTAATCTATGTGTGTTTTTCTTTTTTAAATGTCAAAGTTATTTTTTTATGAGTGTAAATTCATTGCAGCTTCGAGACCGTCTTTTGGCTGCCATTACGCACAATTGTCCAGGCCCAACATAAGACAGGACACCATTGTCCCACCCCTTGTTCGAAAGCTTTCCTCATTGGCTACAAGGACATGTCAATCGTAAATCCCGGAAGTAAAAGCAAACAAGTTGGGATCACAACAAAGATCAGTGATCAATGCGCAAACAGCAGCACTAGCTGTACTTACGGGACCTCTTGCAGACCCAAAAATTGGTCTAGCTTTTCGGGAGTAGTCTCATTTGAAAGATAAGGAGCTAAGGAACACGTAGATGCCAGATGTTTGGGTGAAAAACAAAGCTAAAAGTCCGTTAAAAGTGAAAGAGTAACATCTGTGCTCTTTTTTTTCGTTTTTTTCGCTAAAGATAAATGCACATTTTTGGATTATTTCTGCAGAATGGATTTTACTTTGGGAAATACAAGTGGATATAATTTTCCTTTGGACTGTTCCAGAGAGAATGATGTATTGCAAGCTGGGAGGAGAGCTGATTTATTTGTACAGCACAAGCCCAAAGGTAAAAAACTATTTTGGAATTTATTTATTTTGTGCCCACATTATGTGTTATATCTTTTGAATGCAAAGTCTGATGTAGTTTACACTTGTATATAAAATGATATACAGCTTTTGGGGTTTGGTGTTCAAAATACATCTGCTATTGCCAGCAGAACATTTAAAAACATAAAAACGGCCGCCGGCACGCCGGTGTTAGTTAAGAGGTTAAATCACACAAAGACACTTGTTTGCCTCGGATAATTCTAAATTTGACCATAACACATTCAAACATTATATTGTGAAGTGAGACACAATTTCCTGAGACGTGATATGGAGGAAGTGGTGCCGTTCAGCAAACTTTTTTCCCCCACTGTAGTCCTGGGTATACATAGTTCCCACAGACCAATGAATGTCACATGACCTCCTCGGAGACGCCATCTTTGATGGCACGCTGCTGTGTTTGTGCATTCCATTAAACAGAAGAATGAGAATAAATGTAGATATTCAAACGCAAATTGGAAAAAAAGGGCAACTTTTGAGCAAATAATTGTATATTAATACAATGGCACCACAGTTTAACGTGCTACGGACATGTTTTACATATGTGATCAAATTATGCAGCAAGAATTAACAAGCAATGCAAACATTTCTCAAAAACTTTAGATTTAATACCAGTTGGAGCTCCATTTAATTATTTTAATTATATTAACAATTAATTTAATTAATGCTAATGCCACACGGACACTCTGGATTGCTGTTATTGTTTATTTCCGCGTTTTTGACCGTATGTTTTGGTGAATGGTGGGCAACTGATTTTTCCAGGCGTAAAGAGCAGTTTATTTTATGACACAGATCTTTTTACAGAAGCAATGCTGTTTGTGAACATTGTTTTAGCCCACCATAGAACTATTATTATCTATTTAATACATTTACGTTGCCCTCGAGAGCCTCGGACGCGACACCGATCCTCCTCATAATAAAGTAATCTAACGCTAAATAATGAAACTCTCAAGTTAGCAGCTATCAGCATACACAAGTTAGTACTGAGTAAATTACGTCTGTCAACACATTATGAGATACGATACGCACCTGACACAAAGTGCTCCGAGCATATTCTTGCGTGTTTTGAGGGAGTTTCTTGCCTGTTTATCTTCGCAAGCCATAACCTCCGTGGTTGTTCTGACAAAAGCTTAAGTCTTCTCACATTCATGAAGTCTAATGATGGGTATACTGTAAAATCCAAGTTTAACAGAACCTCCGGCACGATTTGAACATCCATTGACCCAGCAGGAGATGACCATTTTCAACTATATCACGACATTAACACGTTTCAGCTTCTTTTTCTATTGTTTTGCCCACAGAATGCCAACACAAATGGCGCCGGGTCGGCAAATCCCCGTATGTAGTGACGTCATGTAGGAACTATGTATAGAACTACAGCTTCTAAAATGTTTAACTCTTTTTTTAAGCTCCTTAGAAAACTGACATGAGTCCCATCTCCTGTTGTAAAATGAGCCAACTCAGATTCTAAACGTTGACCTTGTTGTCACAAAATCAATGGTACAAACAATGGGATGTTTGCGCCTGAAGAAATCTACATTATAAAGAATATCATCAGAACATACATGTATACATGTCTCATTTACGACACTCCACTGGAAACTAATTATCACTACACCTGCATAAGCCTTTTGCAAAGCTCCTCTTATCCTTTGCGTCAGAAACAGCTGATGCAGCTCTGGAAGTCCCTGCTCTCACCCACATTCCCTCCACTCACTCCAGTGGGAAAAGGGCGGCTTATCGCTCGGCTTTTAACTTACTGGCAGCAACACTTCAACATGAGAGGACACGCTCTTATCTACAAGAGGTTCCACTGGACCAGGTTCAATGTATAAAAGAAGCCGGAACACCAATCGAGTCACGTAGAGGTAAAATGCATCCTTTTATACAACGATAATGACAATGTACTGAATGGGTTGATAAAAATAAATAATAAAAATGTTTCAACAGAACAAAATGTCAAAAGTAAGTCTCTGCTTAGTCAGGATGGATCTCATCCACTCCTGGGGCCTTGTCACTGAGGAGGCTGCCAACAACCTCTGTGTCAGGGAGATGGAAGAATCAGTTCCAAGCCTTCAGCCTCTGCCTCCAAAGTGGAGAACATGATGGGGGATTGAGGAGAACCTCAAAGTATTCCTTCCATTGGCCAACGATATAGCTCAGGTCAGCAGCTCTCCAGCAGCTCTTTCGCATGGCCTGCTTGTACTGGTCTTAGTTCGACATGCTTTTGTGGAAAGCCTTGTGGAGCCCCAACGGCGATCTGATATTAACTATAAACAGATTTTTTGCCCAGTTCTGTTGGATTGACAACATTTCTTTGGATGATCATTTTCAGGAATCTAAAATAGTATAATGTATAAGATGAGAGTTAAATGATCCCCTCCAATGGACATTCACTCCACAGGCACTGCTCATGTTTTGGGACAGAGACAAAAACACAGCAGCTATTTTGCACCTCAGGCCAATGGCTCTTAGATCACCAGCATATGTTACATTCATGCGTACTAGTGTCTTCCCCAAGGACATAACAACGCTGCTTGTACTACCAATCTATAAGTAAACCACCTTTACTACTATTAATATGTCTTTGAATAGAATGTGTGATAATTCCAACAGACAAGAGCTCTGACTAATATGTTTGACCCCAATCAACAGAGCCTGGACATCTACATTCATTCATTAACATTTGCTCTTAACAGCAGTTAGATTATTTGTAGACGTGGCTTTAACATTCACTGTTAGTTACTGCTTTAGACTGAACTGATTTAGATTTATTTATCCAGAGTAGCCCCCCATTGAGAAACTCTCTTTCGGAGAAGTCCTGGAACCTGGCACATGTGTTTAGTAGTAGGAGAAACCAAAGCACTCGGTGGAAATATGAGCAGACACGTGATGAACATGGAAACGGCACACAAACAAGACCCGTGTCACCAAACCGTCAAACCCAGAATCTGTTCACTGAGAGGCGAGAGGTCTAACCACTGAGCCTCTAACTGTGCTGAATGAAACTAAAAACCACTTCAGAAAAAGCCACAGTAAGTTCATTTAACCCATCTGTGGAACGGAGGCGCAGCGGTTAGAGCAAGAAGGTTCCTGGGTTCAATTCCACCTCCAGGCCTTTTTGTGTGGCGTTTGCATGTTCTCCCTGTAGCTGCGTAGATTTCCTCCAGGTGCTCCGGTTTCCTCTACCACTAAAAAGATGAACATTAGGTATGAATGTGAGTGAATGGATGGTGTTGGTTGGGGGCTTAGATGCGGCAGTGTGTTTCTCGCTTCCATCATGAAAAAAATTTGAACTCTGGATATTGTAAAGCGCTTTGGGTGACTTTGGTCTGTAAACTGCGCTTTATAAATAAACATTACTTACTTACATCTAAAAGCAAAAATCAGAAATCAAGAGCTCATTTCTTTTCTGCAGTGTGATAGACTCACCTCTGACACAATGACGCTGTAGAGGTCGCCGTAGAGTCCGGCCTGCTGTGCGAACACGTAGTAGTCCGGAGTGGAGAAGAAGATGCCAAGCGCTCGGGTGAGGGAGGGGTGAGTGCAGTAGGACAGCGACAGGTTGTACTCCCGCAGAAAGGACGCCAGCGAGGTCGACTCACGCGGGAAGAACTTCAGCGCCATTGGAGACCCTAAGACCAAAGACATGGTCACGGTCTGAAGGAAATGCATGCTTTTTAATTTTATCAACAAATAACTTTTGATTTGAAATAATCGGTGATTTCAGCCTGGAAACAGACAATACATTTAACATGATATATGGGGCTTTCACACCGGATCATGCGTTGCGGTGACTGCCAATGCAAAGTTAATGGTGACGCGGGTTCGAGCGTCAAACTGCATGTGCGTCTCGGGATGCACGCACGGACTGCGCGGTAGAGGCAGAGGCACAGGAGCGGAGAATTGACCAATCAGAGAGCCGCAAAGTGGTCACGGGGACATTAGCGGTCCGAGCGAGCAGACTGAAAATACTCGTAAACAGCCAAAACAGGAGCTACATCAGGACTAAACCAGGGTTGACAATGTGCCTGTGAACATATGCGTTTTCTTGCTCCCGTGACTTTATGCAACTGCTTCAAGCGTGTTCGCCAATGTGGAAGTACCGTTTAATAATAAAATAAACTTATGGCACACCTCCGTGAACACATACTACTGTTATATAAAGTCTCTGGAAGGTCTCTGGACACAGAGACGCTGCAGAGCTGCATTATTGGGTAAGAACTTTACACAAAGAGCCGCTAGCTTAACTCCGTTAACATCAAAGTCCGCCCGCTACTTCCGCCACTTCCGGCGAGCGCCACCGCAGCCCAGGACTTCTGGTGTGAAGACCCCTGCATCTGATTAGAGAATGTGCGTCTGGTGCGCGAGGCGTCAGCGTTCCAGCCATAGACTGGATATATTAACGGACAGAGTCACGCCTATCTCCGCCGTTTTAACTAATGGGCCAAAAAATTTGCTCTACTGGAGCTATCCAAAATGGCCGCGAGTGGTCCCGCCCACAAGAAAATTGTGAAAAAACGCATCTGCGCATGCGTCAGCCGGCGCAACTCCATTCATTTGAACGAGAGACTTCAAAAATTCACAGCAAGTAAACTAGAGTGGACCAAAAAAATTCACCCCCCTCAGCATTGACACACATGTGGAACGGAGCTTTGGGCCAAGAGCCAACTTTTGGACCATCCTGTAAAGACGTTTTCGAGAGGTCTGCCAATGCTATATGTTAGCATTGGCTAATTCTTCTTCTGGGTCCACCCCCATCGGCCCGGGGTGGTATTGCAAGCATGTCAGCGCACGTCATTTTGGCCACTTTTGAGCTGGGACCCTCCCCCACTGGTTCCAGCGTTGGCGGTGGGAAAGCACCTTAAAACCTTATCAAACCCTCTGTCTACGTTCTGCAGGAGTCCAACTGTTTGTATCCTTTTGCTCCATTTTTATATCTTTAATTAACAGTAAATCTTGCATTGGGTTTCATAGTCCCCTGCCCACAATCTCCATCGGGAATATATATAATTATAGAAATAAGTATCAAAGTCTAGGAAGAGAACACAACCTAATCTAAAAGTGCAAGGGTAAGGTTGACTGGTTTGACTCTTGGATGACTCCTCAAGGGCTTGACTCTTCCAGCGCTTAACAACAAATGACTGGGACGGGACTGCCAATTGAGAACTTGGACCATACCACACACTAATTTAAAACTTGAGAAAGGAACCGGGTGAGATGTCTTTCCTTTGCAGGTCGTGCCTATCTATTTAAAGGCAGGGACTGGGAATGAAGGAAAATATACATTATAGTCTATATATTTGTATAATATAAGTGTGCCAGAGTAGTCACAGCACACTATTGCACACCTATGTCATGTTATCAGAGAACCCAACACTTTTTAAAGCCAGACTTTCATTGATAACATTGACTGCACAAAAACTGAACATGAATTGCTAAAATAATAAGCCTAAACCAACCATTTAGGTAATTTCTGAAATGAGTAGAGCACATAAACAGGCTTATTGATTTCCTCTTCAAAACTATAGAACTGCTTTTCCAATTTATACTAAACTTTTTGAAAATTGGTTTATAGATTTCTGTATCGTAATGGGAGACATAGGACACAACAGACTTGTGAGCAGAGATAGAGAAAACAATTTTTTTTCCTCAAGTGTTTTTTTTTCTGGTTCTCTAATCCTTGGAAACTGCTTGACCATGTTTTGCCAGGACTGTTCAATCATTGACACTATGAACAAATATAACTTCCCCTCTGGAACTACTATGTTACAGCCCAGAGGAAACCCAATCCTCCAAACGCTTCATTAGAGCGACACAAGTGCAAAAGGTTAAGTGAACACTCTTAAAAGGCTACTCTGTCTTCACGTTCCTCCAGCTTCTCTACAACATGACGACCCGAAGGGAATCTGCTCCGGATATCATACATTTCACAACCAGTATGGAGCCATAATGTTAAGGCTATTGACAAGTCTAAAAATGAAAGACATATTAATACATGTTTGAGACGTTTCAGTTGAATAGATCAACACAAAATGATTCCATACCAGTACTTTGTATTTTGTATGATTTTTTTAGAATACCAATTTAATTAATTATTTCCACACAGAAAGTGTGACTGGCGCGTCGTAACGACCCAGCAATTATCCCTCTGGGAACCATGCACTTAATGCCGGGCTGCGCTCAGGGTGAACATGTCGATCAGACATGTTCACATTGTTGACTCTGAGAAGCACAGGGACTGGACTCCTGTTAGTGCCCAGAGTCAGAACTAAACATGGGGAGGCTGCTTTTCAGATTCATGCTGCTAAAATCTGGAACAGTCTTCCTGAAGATGTGAGACAGGCCTCCTCAATGACAATGTTTAAAACCAGGTTAAAGACAGTTCTGTTTAGCTGTGCATACAACTGAGGGATTTTATATTTTTAGCTTTCTTTTTAATTTTCTGTGATTATTTATGATTTTAATGCTTTCTTATTTTGTTCAGCACTTTGAATTGCCTTGTGTATGAATTGTGCTATATAAATAAACTTGCCTTGCCTTGCCTAGACTGTTTCAGCCAGTTGAATGTTACAAAACTACACAAGGAACACAAGGGACAATACTTTGCATAAAACAGCAAGCCAGGGAGCCGTGTTTGGGTGAGAGAACCTCTCCAAGTTTGGGTTGCCCTTTCCTTTGTAGTTGTCCTTTTAAATATATATAATATGTATGTTGAAAATTGTCTATATTGCTGCATGCGGATGATAAAGTTCATTATAAATGCACTTCCCTGTTTCTATACATTTGCACTGTGACTTATGTAGAAAGCCAGCTTCGGCAGATGAGCTTTTTTAGCCGATACGATAGCTGATACTGATATTTAATTATTTTTATTTTAGTTTTTATCGGAACAGTGGCATTGATGAAGATTTTTTTTTACCACTTTCTTTGTAAAGAAAATAGTAAACTGTAATGTGTGATTTTTTTAAAATACAAATTTTGGTTTTTATTATTTTCTGATTTAAAAATATTGGCCCAATACTTATATAATAATAATAATAATATGAGAAATATCAACCAATATCAATTGCTTTAAGAACATTTTCCTGAGCAGAAATAACCCTCAATGTGATGTTTCGTTGTACAAAGAAGAACTTTACTATAATTGTTAACATCATGCACATGGACTGACCTCTTTTCCTGTGGACGGCTAGCATCACTTTGCCATAGGAGCCCTCGCCCAGCAGTTTGACCACATGGAAGTGGTCAGCCACCTTCAGACTGGTCATGGACTGAGCAGAGAGATAACAGAGCTCGTCCAACTCCTGAGCTGCAGCCACCTGAGGGACAGAGACCCAATTCAGCCTGACAATAAGACAGCTAAAGAGTAAAACTCGTCTCCACGTTGCGAGGGGCTGAAGTGTCTCGCAATAATGCGACAACAATTCATAAGATACACAAGGAACTACAGTATTCATGCAGGCTGTCTTACCCAATAATTAATACACATGGAACAATGTTTCTTTTTGTTCTGTCCCTTTTAAATAAACCCATATAGATCCTAAATCAATGATTTGGGTAAATGTTTTTTCCTTTATTCAATCATCTCTATTTTTTTTGTCTGCCTCAAAGAATTCAGGTCCAATGTGCAATGCCTTTTTTCTAAGAGAGCCAAAAATTGTAATCTATGGTGTAATTTTATGCTGAAGAAATCCAAAAGATAAAACATTCTTACTATTGATGCCTACAGGATCATCTAAAGAGCCACATCTGGCTCTAGAACTACAGGGGTCTGGCCTTTGCCTTAAACCATGTTTGCTGAAGGGCTCTTTCAAATAAATGCATCTCAAATATTAGAAGAGCTGAAAGGTCCATTACTACCTGGAACTGAGACATGATCCTACATGTCTCAGAGCCAATACCCGATACCGGCATTGCTGCACGAAACGAAACCTCTCCATGTGAAATATATGAGCGATTCTCTGTCAGCGATGGGCTGTGGTCTCCTGAGGACAAAGGCCGTATGGATGAGAGGTGTCTGTGTGCGTGATGAGTGTGGCGCCCGAATGGGAGCGCGCTGATGTAAATGATAACTGTACTGCTTGAAGCCAGGATCTGGGCTACATTTGGAGGAGCACCTGTCCACTCAAATACAAGTAGGGAAGGAGTTGTTCTTCCAGAGTGGGACAGAAGCCTGCTCAAACAACACCGCCTAGAGTATACTTGCGCGGCGTGGCTTACGTTAGCGGTTGCGGTGGACCTACGTAAGCACAATTGATGTTATACTGGCGCGTTCCCCTTACGGAGTTTTGAGGAGAATGTTGTAATCCCACAACAAACCACATGAGGGCGATCACACAGGAGCGGTCCCATTTACGCTGCTACTTTGTCCTCTTCAGAACAACATTAGCAAACAAAGCTGTTTGAGTTCATTACATGTGTTTCTACTGCAGGTTTGTGTGATAGTTTTATGGATTCATTATTTTATAAGTCATTTCAACTGTGATTCTGTGAATAAAGACACAGTTCTTGTTGGAAACATAGTTATTATTAAATAGTTTTCAGCACAAACAGCAAAACAATAATAGTGGTAAATATCTGACATAAACGATTTACGAGTGCAGGAGGAAAGCAACAAACGCAGCTACGATTCAAACAAAGACAGGAACAGTGCAAAACAAACGACTGCACAGTTTATAAGTTATATATATGTTAGATAGTCCACTGTCTCCTGTATATCAGGCTCTGAGCCCAAACTGCTTTTCCTTCGAAGCACAAAGCTTTCTGCTCCATAGTGCCTCGTCCATGTCCCTGCTGCAGCCGCTCCATGCTTCCTTCCAATACACACACACGGACCAATCACAGCGGAGATTCCTTGCGGCGACCCTTACGTAGTTAGAAAATTTCGATGCTGCGCGGCAGGCAACGTAAGGGCCTTGCGGTGACCAACGCGTTGCGCAAGTGACGTCACGTCACCTCCGTAAGCTCCGCGCCGCGCGAGTATAAACTAGGCTTTAGCCCCTGGTCTAATGCCAAGAACAGAAAGCTAAAACTGTGGACAGGCTTGTTTATTATCAAATCAATAATTATTGCATAGATTTAAGGTCCATGTTAATTTATCCATACTGCAAGTGTTATTTGTTTGTGTGACCTAAATCTTTAATTCAATGGGGGACATCTGTGTAGTTACCAAATGTTTTAGGTCAAATTAAAACATTGCATTTACCAATAGTGTATAAGCATTATTCTGCTTACTAAAAAGGGCCATTGACAAAAGGTTCTCATGTCACATGCTAAAAGTGCGAGAAATCTCTTAATTAATGTTGATTCATCAAGTAAATGGCACTAAACAAAAAAATGTGAATTGAAGCCAAATGTAATAATGTTTTGTCTACACAGAGGGAGACTGTTCAAATGTAGTGTCTGTCTTTTGGTCATGTTTATCTTGCCTTCAGTTATGATAGAATCCTCGTCAGACTACCGTAATGAGTGAGGAGTATTTTACCTTGACACGCTTCTACAGTTCTGCGGATGCCTCGCATTAGCAGCAAAAACATGTCAAGGTAAAATTCATGTCCCAGATACTCATGTCTGACTAAAAGAGAATTCTAGTTGTGCATCTTTGCGGTCTCTGCTGAGATATTATTATCCCTGTGCCAATACATGAGAATATAAATAATTATAAGAACTATTTGACATAATTATTAACTGAAAACTTTATGTACCGACACTGATACTCTTTCCTCAAAACAGCTCCCTCATTGGAGAGTTTTAATTCTTGGTCCACTTATATTCTCTGTGTTTTATGACTGCGTGTGTTGTGTGGTCCTCTGTCTTTTATTTGCTTTCATGAATTTGATATTGATGTGTTAGTATTGTATAGTTTTATATTTGTATTGTATGACTTTTATTTCTTTATCTTTTTGGTATATTTTGATTTGACTTGTAGCTTGCAGTATTTTCATTTTCATTTCTTTATTTATTATTTTTCTGTGCAGCACTTTGGAGACTGTTTATAAAATATGCTCCATAAATAAAGAGGATTGGATGAAGATATTGTTTATATTGTTGGCTCTGCAGTTACTTGCTGGATTAAAACCAGTTAAAGAACACAATTTGATGCATTTTTTTACTACAGCATTGATTTGAGGGTTAAAACAGATTTATTTTAGATGATGGCAGGAAGCAAACCGGACGTTAAAAAAGCTGGATCCGTGCATTCTTACATGAATGTTTAAGAGCCTGTAAATGGTTCGACAAGGAGACCAGGTAAACAAATATAAAAAATGTTGCTTGTCTCACATTGTTGACCTGCACATTTTACAATAACGCCATCAGTTTACTAATATTGATGATTGTTTATTTTTTCTTGTTTGTGATTAAACATTCATAGACAATGCCAATAACACTTTTTTGATTTCTCTAAATAAAATTAATTCAATAGCAATTACCAACACGTAGAGGTTGTAGGTAGATGTCGGATAATTACTTCCATTTGCCAAATTGCCAGTTCAATTTCAAATGGAGTCTTATTGTATAATAGTATAAGTTGGATGAAGTGACTTTTTTACTAACACCGTCTAGCTTCTGCTCCATGTTCTAAAGCTGTGGTCCAGTAATGGGGCGGTATTCTGATATTGTCTTATCTCCACACATTTGTCACTGTCACTCAGGCGGTTTGGTAATTCTCTGTCGTGTGTCTTTGAAGAAGATCCCCGCATGGAGCCATGGAAATCAGGACGCTTGTCAACACGGACGGGCCTCATACTATAGCTTAACACAAAAGATACAATCGCTGTGAGATGTATTTTTACTGGGGCCGGTTGCATAAGAGGGTTTAAGGCACAGCCAGGTTTGATGATAATTCAATAAGGTCATTACATCACAATGAGCCCACCGGCATTTGGTACAAGATCACCTCTATCCAATCTGCAATGGAACGTATTAAGTGGCCTAATGTATGCAGCCTAAGTTTAGCGACTTTATTAAATCTTGGCGCAAACCATGTATACATTTTTAAAATTTGCAATGGCTTTTATGGTGAAGGGTCTGTTGCTTGTCTACATTCGACCTTTTCAAAGACAAACAATAGAGATGTTTTTACATTTAGAAATAATATAGACTTCTTCATATAGAAATAGACTTTTCTTTTTCTACGCGTATATATTTATTGCAAATTCATATATATATTGATTATAAATTATTATGGATTGAATGACAATTCCTCCCCCCCTGGACTGCCACCTTAACGTGGTGGGGGAGTTTGAGTACTCGGATGATCCTGGGAGCTATGCTGTCTGGGGCTTCATGCCCCTGGTAGGGCCTCCCATGGCAGACAGGTCTCAGGTGACGAGTCAGACAAAGAGCAGTCCAGAAGACACCATGGACAGCACAGAAATGAAAACAGTGACGTCGCCCGGCATGGCGCAGCTGGGGCCCCACCCTGGAGCCAGGCCTGGGGTCGGGGCCCGTATGCGAGCGCCTGGTGGCCGGGCCTTAGCCCACGGGGCCCGGCCGGGCTCAGCCCGAAGGGATGACGTGGGCAGTCCCTCCTGTGGGCCCACCACCTGCAGAGGGGTCCGTGGTGAAGCGGTGCTGAGAGGACTGGGCGGCAGTCGAAGGCGGAGACCTCGGCGACCCAGTCCGCACACACAACATCTGGCTCTTGGGACGTGGAACGTCACCTCACTGGGGGGGAAGGAGCCCGAGCTCGTGGGGGAGGTTGAGCGATACCGACTAGAGATAGTCGGCCTCACCTCCACACACAGCTTGGGCTCTGGAACCCAACTCCTTGAGAGGGGTTGGACGCTCCACTTTTCTGGAGTTTCCCGCGGGGAGAGGCGGCGAGCTGGGGTGGCCATTCTCATTGCCCCCCATCTCAGCCGCCACGTGTTGGAGTTCTCCCCGGTGAATGAGAGGGTCGCGTCCCTCCGCCTCCGGGTGGGGGACAAGTCTCTCACTGTTGTGACGGCCTACGGGCCTAACGGCAGTGTAGAGTACCCGGCCTTCTTGGAGTCCTTGGGAGGGGTACTGGACGGTGCACACGCCCGGGGACTCCGTTATTCTCCTGGGGGACTTCAACGCCCATGTGGGAAACGCCAGTGACACTTGGAGAGGGGTGATCGGGAAGAGCGGCCCCCCTGATCTGAACCCGAGCGGTGTTCAGTTGTTGGACTTCTGTGCCAGTCGCGGTTTGTCCATCACGAACACCATGTTCGAGCACAAGGGTGTCCACCAGTGCACGTGGCACCAGGACACCCTAGGCCGGAGGTCGATGATCGACTTTGTTGTCGTATCATCTGACCTTCGACCGCGTGTCTCGGACACTCGGGTAAAGAGAGGGGCGGAGCTGTCAACCGATCATCACCTGGTCGTGAGTTGGATCCGCTGGCAGGGGAAGAAGCCGGTCAGACCTGGCAGACCCAAGCGTATAGTGAGGGTCTGCTGGGAACGTCTCGCTGAGCCCCCTGTCAGACGGACTTTCAACTCACACCTCCGGGAGAGTTTCTCCCAGGTCCCGGCGGAGGAGGGGGACATGGAGTCCGAGTGGACCATGTTCTCTGCCTCAATCGCCGATGCGGCGGCTCGTAGCTGTGGTCGCAAGGTCTCTGGTGCTGGTCCCGGCGGCAACCCCCGAACCCGGTGGTGGACACCGGCAGTAAGGGATGCTGTCAGGCTGAAGAAGGAGTCCTATTGAGCCATGATGGTTCGGGGGACTCCTGAGGCAGCTGTCCAGTACCGGCAGGCCAAGCGGCCCGGGCTGTTGCAGAGGCAAAAACCCGGGACTGGGAGGAGTTCGGAGAGTCCATGGAGCATGACTATCGGTCGGCCTCGAAGAGATTCTGGCAAACCATCCGACGCCTCAGGAGGGGGAAGCAGTTCTTTGCCAGCACCATGTACGGTGCGTGTGGAGAGCTGCTGACCTCGACTGGGGA